CATCATCATCTGTTCTTATCTTTTTCAATGGAATTCAGATAGACAGTCCTGAGACAGGTCTTTATACTGCTAATATTCAATGTTCTACAGACTTTTGCACAAGTAAGTAAGAAAAATGCTTAATGTAGCTGAAGCATTAATCCCCTATTGGCTCACTACAAACATCCTCAGTATGACTCCAGAAACAGAAAAGATAAAAAGGATGATATATGGCATTTCATACTGTTCCTACATAATTCTCCTCTCTTATTTTTGATCTCTATATTTTGAAATTATTGTTATAATTATTGTTACAAGTAGCAAAACACTAGGAAAAAGGAAAGCATTTTGAGAATAAGATTACTCTGTATAGTTTCCTAGAGAACAAGTTAGAACTCATCCCCTTTTGAATGAATAAAAAAGCAGTAGTGCTTACTAAGTGCCAGGCACTTAGTAAATGAGAAGAAGGGATAAATATAATTTATGTTAACCTACCTCAGAATGGCTTATTCAGGAGCCTTATCAATAAAGCCAGGGAAATGTATTTTATACTACTGTTTCTTAAATTGAGGATGAGGATAAAGAAAACAAATCTTTTTAGAGGAATAGAACATTTCAAGGAGTCACTGGAGCTGAAGCTAGAGAAATCACTTGGTAGCAGTGGTACCATCCTTATCAGCATAGCCACCTCACTAAGGAGTATTAATTACCACTGCTCCCTTTTTTCTCTACTCTACACACTCTCTTATCCCTTTGTTCCCCTTATCACCAAGATTCTTTCTGTTTCCTGAACTCCTCTTCCTATTGGTCTTTCTTTAAACGAAACAAAAGAAAAATTGGTGACACTCCTTAGTAACACAGAAATTCTGTCACACGAACTCTTTCGCTTAAAGAGTAAGGCAGGACATGGACTTACACAGAGATGGAAGGGAACTCAGAGGACATCTAGTCCACCCTGCTCATTTTACAGATGGGGAAACTGAGCCTGGGGACACTTGTTTAGGGTCATATGACTCCAGGGAAAATGAAGGTAAAGATGTTGAAGTCTTATCTTTTCTGCAGGCTCATGAGCGGATCATGGGTCAGTAAGTCCTCCACCTAGGCTACATAACAAGTAATCTGCAGGGCTATGACATGCCTAGGGTGTCAAATTTCCATGAGTAACCTGAATGGTGAAAGATAAGCCCTGAGCTCATGACACCAGGCAGAGGTGATCGGGAGGGAGGAATTGAGGTGGGGAAATGACTGGCTCTTTCAAATATAGAACGAGAACTCAAAGTAACCGGTGAAATGGAGAAGTGGTCAGGAAGACAAATGCAAAACACCCCAGGGAGTAAAAGCGAATAACACCAATACAGAGCAGGGTTGCCTGCTTAGGTGACAAGACAGCAGGACAGAACCCGGGGGCCTGCTGGAGAACAAGCTCAGGAAGGTCTGCTGAAGGAGGCAGTGATGGAAGAGAGGCTGCATGACAAATGAGCAAGCCAATCAGGAGCAAAGTCAGAGGTACAGTTTGGCTCAGTACAAGGAAGAACTTCCTAATCAATAGAGCCATGTAAGAATAGCTAACTTTCCTTAAATGTACACAGGGTTTTATAGATATAAAGTGCTTTAACTGACATATTGTTACATTCCATGAGGTAGGTGGCCCAATCATTAGAATTCCAATTTTAGAGATGAAGAAACTTGTTCTACATCCCAAAGCTGGAAAATGGCAGGGCTGGGATGTGTCTAGAGCTTCCCAGGACGTTCAGTGGAGAAAGGACACGTCTTATCATTGTAGGTATTCAAGGACAGTATTCAAGGGTAATCACTCGTCCACAGACCCACAGAGGAGAGTTACCTTGTGGGTAATGGGTTGGAGGATTACTAAGGTCCCTTCTGACTCCAAGATGATGATTCTAGGCTGGCCATGAGTCAGCAATAAGTACTCCAGTTAAAAATAGGAGCACCATGCAGGCTGGCCTCATGCTTTATACCATATGGACCAGTCAATAATCATCCCTCTAATACTGGTCAATTTTGGGCTACAGATGGAAGCTATAAAGATGTCTTTAAAAAGGCTAAGATTCATTTCAATAAAGGTGTTCGGGATAAAATAATTCTTGTAATAACAATAGGGGTTGGACTCTTTTTCTTTGTCTCTCTCTCATTTTCTCCCACTTTCCTTCCTCCCTCAAAGCTAGGATAAAAGGAAACGGTCTCAAAATTATATCAAGGGTCCATTGTAGAGGTAAGGTAGAAGAAATTCCTGAGAGTTTTTGGACATCGGGAGAGATTATTTAGTGAGTCAGAAGAGCCATGATGTGAAAAAAGCATGATCCAAGGAGTCAGTATATCTAGGTTCTAGTCCAGGCTCTGATATTAACTAGTTATAATCTTGGGCAAATCACTTAATTGATTCTTCTAGGCCTAAGTTTCCTCTCCTGTAAAAAAAGGTTTCATTAGATTATCTTTAAGGTTCCTTCCTGCTTCATAATTTTATGAATTTCTCTTTTTTTGGAAAACTTAAAAAAGCACTGATTTGCACATATTTGGGCCTGCATAAAGGCATATTTCTTTGTGTCTATTCTGGATCAAATATGAATCAGATCATAAATCACAGGATCACAGAATTTGAGTTGGAAGGGATGTCAGAGGTCATCTTGTTTAATCTCTTCATTTTACTGACCAAGGAAACAGAGAAGTTTGATGAAGTGTTCAGGTTAGATTTATCAGAGATCAGATTTGAGCTCAGGCTTTTCTTGTCTCTAAGTCTAGCACCTTACCCATCATTCCATACTGTCTCAACATTTTATACATGAAGAAGTTAAGTAATTTGCCCAGGGTCACAGGGAGTAAGCATCTGAGGCAGGATCTGAACTCAGGTCTTCCTGACTCCAGGTCCAGTATTCAATCCGACGATATCTATGACCACTGAAAATTCTTGATGTTGAAAAGATATTAAATGAAGCCTATGGGCTATGAAGTAAACAACATTTTTTCAGGGGGAAATTATAATCAAACAAAAATAAGAAAAAAATCAATAAAGGCCATAATCCTTTTGAGAATGCTACCCAGGGCACCTAATAGTTACAGGCACAAATGATATGGGCAAACAATTGTGAAAACTAGATAGTCAAATATATGTAGTCACACCAAGTATCCATATACACATCAAGTAAATATTGGGTTTCTTTAGGCAGTATGGTATAACGGAGAGTGGTCTGAACTTGCAACTAAAAACCCTAAGTTCAAATCCTTGGCACATTAGCTACATGACAATGATTAAATCACTGGGTATCAGGTTGGTCATCTGTAAAATGAGCATACTATTTATATTACTAATCAAACAGGATGGTTGTGAATATATAAAAATCAATTTGCAATGGTAAAGCCCTATATAAACATGAATTATTATAGGTTTTGGTTGCAATATTATTGCTTTCTCTGTCATATCTTTCTTTTTATTTCTATCCCCACTGCTTAGTACAATGCCTGACACATATTAAGTGCTTAACAAATGCTTGTTGATAATTTGACTCATTTACTCATTTGAGGAGAAATATTAAAAGTCAGAAATTTAGTTCAGGCAAGAAGATAAAATACATTGTAGAAAAATAATGTGGAAGATTAAAACATGTTTTTACATGTACAACAAAATATAACTATATAACAATTTATCATGGACTTATAATACTTCTTCATATAGTGGTTGTAAATGAATTAGCATATTACCTTTGAAAAACCTTAGAAGTTAAAAAAAATTATATTAAGAGTAGTTGGAGGAAAAGTAATTAACAAATAAAAAAATCATACAGAGCATAATTCTCTCAAGAGTGACAGTCTGGGAACTTGGTAGTCATCTATAAGAAGAAAAATAGATTCTTAAGAAATTTATAACCAGGTGTGGCAGTGCAAGCCTTTAATCCCTGCTCCTGGGAGGCTGAGGCTGGAAGGAAATCTCAAATTCAGGAGTTCTGAATTGTAGCAGGGATAAAATTGATCAGGTACCTGTACTAAATCTGGCATCCAAATGGTGAACCTTTGGGAGCAGGGGGGGAGGTACCTAAAGTGTGGTGAACCAGTCCATTAGTAGTGGGATTCAGTCCCTGAGACAATACAGGGAGACCTAGTCTCAAAATTAGAACAACAACAATATACGGATAAGCTCTTAGGTTTATCAGGTACATTAACAATCAAAAGGTAGTATTTCTGCTTCAGTTGCTCTATTTTAAAAAAAAGAAGTTTCATGCAGGGTTCTGCTAAAACCAGCTCACTGTGGCTCACAAGAGCTGATCGTTAAATTTTCAGTGTGAACATTTATACTTCAGAAATTCTTACGGGCTAAAAATCAGGGCATGGCTTATTGTTTTGTTAAATGTCTAGATTTAAGAAAGTGATGGAGAAAATAATAATTCAGATGAAACTTCAAAAAAAGGTAGTATTTCACATGCAACAATGAAAAATAGGAAAATTTTAATCTATACAAAGAGGAAAATTTTATGACTGCTTAGCCCTAGGGTTTAGTTTATTTACAGACAAATTCACAGTAGAAAAGGCTGACTTCTACTTTAATAGGCTAAATATGAACATAATTTTCCACTACAAAGATTTTACAGACAAACCACAAGGCTCCTCCTTTCAGATGACAATATGTGCAACCCATGAAGAGTCTTCTTTTCTAGGGTCTCTTATGAATAGAGCTTTAGATTCATTTTCTATTTTCTCTTTTCCATGAAAGCTCTATAAAACAAAGAATGCTCTGCTACTTCAGTGGTGATCCTAGTGATCAGGTAGAGGATATTAAAAGAAAAAAAAATTAAACTTTTCACCCTCAATTTTTGCATAAATTTTTTTTTTAACAGCTCCAGACCTGTAATTGAACAAAGCACCAGCTAAGAAGACATTCCATTGCACAGGAAGGTTTGCTTTGGATGCTCAGCTATCTTTGGTGAGGATTTCAACTGAGGCAAAACACATTTTATTATAATATAACATTTTGTGTTATTGATCTGGAATAAGAAAACAGGGGATCTTACTTGCTTTCAGGTGTTAGGTAAACGGCCACAGTATCTCTCAGAGCACAGATTTCAAGCCTTGCCTAAGGACAAGATATAGACAAAAATAACATAAATGTGCTTCTGTCAAACATAAAAGACATGATGAAAAAGCGCTCTTAATCTTACAAACTAAAAGAATCAAACATCCTTTCACATAACAGGTTCAATAGTGGATTTAAAGCTCCCTGTATTCTTTAATTTGTCACTCACCTAAGTGGCAAAAGAATGACTGCAGATTTACAAAGCACTGATTCTTCTTATATACCCACCAGTATGGTAACCTACAAAGGATGAGATCTTTTGCAGAAAACCAAAGAAATGTGCTTTGGTAACCTTTCCTTTGGTTGCAAAGAAGAACCATTTAGGTGTTCTCTTGTTACCAGTTGGAAGACTAGATGAACAATCCTCTTTAAGATGCCTCTTATCTCTCTGATGCTTTCAAAATATAACTGTGGAGTGATTTTTTAGCTATATGTATTCATTGTCTGCTGGTATTAAAAAAAAAAGCACAACTGAGCTGTGAGAAGCAGGAAACTGAACCATGGCTACTGATTTCTCCCCTCCTCTACAGAGAAGGAAGTGGTTTGACTTTACTTCCTCACACCTATAACCTGTCAGGCATATCGACTTTAATCTCCAAAGATAACTCAGTTTTAAATTCTAAGTGAGCACATGGCAGTGCAATAGCTTGGAAAGCCAGTCATAAGCCAGTCTGCAATGAAGCAGGCACCCTCACTGGTTCCGAACTCTCTGTAGGAATGCATTATGTGTGCAAAGTGCTGAAAAAGAGTATTTCAAAGAAATAGTCCCTGCCCTCAAGGAGCTTATTATATATACATAGAACAGCTTCTGGGACATGGACAACTCTTAAAGTTTGAATTAAGAAGAAAATAATACAATTCTTAGAATTTCTTGTTAACCAAAAATCAGGCTGCTAATGTTGTATGATATATTTTTAATGAAACTTTTTCTTTTTGGAAAGCAATCGTTTAGTTTCAGTTTTTAGTGCTTTAGAATTCTGAATAAAGTCAGGCAACTTGAACAAATGTATGTGCCAATCCCCATTTCTATTATTTAGGTTATAGTGTATGCACAAAAAGGATATAAGGAAAAAAACTTTAAAAATAAACAGAGAATAAGGTAAAACTTTCAGCTAGATATCTGTAAAACTAAAATTGATCACAAAAGCAGACTTATTTGTATACTCTAAAAATTCTTAACAATTTCAATTTGAATTCTAACTACATATTTTAATCAACCTATAAAATATGTCAATTATATAATAAGTTGTGCTTACTGTAAATTTTTTAAAAAATCACTCCCTAACAGCAATGTTAAAACTCAAATAATCTCAACAAGCTCCAAATACTCTGTTATCAGCCATACAGTTTTGCTGGGGAGGAAGTGAGGGAATTACCAATTCAGAGAATTGATCCGAGTATCACAGATTTAAAGCTGGATGAGATGTTAGAGAACATCTACTGCAATCTTATTTTAGAGATGAGGACACTGAGGTCCAGAGAGGTTGAGTAACCTGCTCTGAAGGCCAGTGTACACAGCAACAGCTGAGATTCAAATCCAGATTCTCGGACAATGAGGAAGCAGGGTCAGCTCAGAGGAATTCTGAATGTTTCATGTCCTCTACAATTTCTTCCATGTCACCCAACATGCTTTTCTTCCCCAACTAAAACCTTGTTCTCATGAAAGGCTCTCATAAACTCATGCACATGAGATGTTAATAACTGACAAGGCTAATGAGTGTCTCTCCTATCAGGGATATTTGAATTCTAAAATGTCATAAAACACTTTGGCTCAAACCACAGGAATAAAGCTTAATAGTAGAATTTGAGGCTTCTTAATCTAACAGATCAACAAAGGTTTAATAAATTAGGGCAGAATTTGGTTTTCCCAAGCTGATGTGACTTTTTCCTAGGCAATTTTCTAAGACAGGATCTCTCTTACTAGGATAGATAGTAATATCCCAGATTGGAGGATAAGGTATATTTGCTTTCAAACTTAAACTCTATCTAGGAAAAACTAAGAAATCTTCACATTTATCTATATCAAGACTCACTGGGCATCTTGAATAAGGCATGTAATGTAGGTAAACCTATGCACATGTGCATGCATGTACACCTATACACACACACAATAGAGGACACACACAATAGAGGAGTGAATTAATACTGGCAAAATACTTGAAATGAAATGTGGAATCAAAATGTAAGTACTATTCTTTGCTCTTTTTCTTGCTTCTGCTCTACCACAAATACATTTTTGTACATCTGAATGTGGATGGCTATGTACTAGAACAGTTAGGTACCTGCAAAGCTCCATTTTTGCTGAAAGATGAAACACACTGCATCAGTCGACTTAGCTCTTCAGAAACAGCTTCCACTATCTTAGACAACACACGAGGCACTAATTCCTTAGAAATGGTGAACACCTTGTAGAATGTTTCAAACAAGAACATAATATTTAATATGCTAATTATTTGGTGTTTCACAAAGAAAATCAGACAAAAAGAAAAAAAATTAATAAAACTCCTGCACCTCAAGGGTCTACTGGGTACTTGTATTTTAATCTAAATTTTATTGTTTATCTTCAATTCCAAATTTCCCCCCTCTCTATACCTCCTTCCCCACTCATTGAGAAGGCAAGAAATATGATACCTGTTATACACATGAAGTCATGCAAAACATATTTATTAGGCATGTTTAAAAAAAAAGAAAGGGAAAAAAATGTTCTTCCATCTGCACTGTGAGACCATTAATTCTCTATCTGGAGGCGGATAGCCTTCTACGTCTAGAGTTCTTTGGAGTTGTAGTGGATCACTGTACTGATCAGAGTTATTGTTTTTCCACAACTGTTTACCCTTACAATATTGTTACTGTATAGACTATTCTCTTGGTTCTGCTCACTTTTCATCAGTTCATATAGATCTTTCCAAGTTTTTCTGAAACCATCTCCTTTATCTCTTTTTTTAAAAATTAATTTATTTTAGTTTTCAACAATCACTTCCATAAGCTTTTGAGCTTTAAATTTTTCTCCCCGTCCCTCCCCAAGACAACACGCAGTCTGATATACACTATACATATACATTCTTATTAAACATGTTTTCACATTAGTCATTTTGTAAAGAAGAATTAGAACCAATAGGAGGAACCACAAGAAAGAAGAAACAAAACAAAACAAGAAAAAAAAAAGAGCAATTAGTATGCTCTGATCTGCATTTGAACTTCACAGTTCTTTCTCTGGATGTATGTGGACAGCATTTTCCATTAAGAGACTTTTGGAGATGTCTTAGATCCTTGCATTGCTGAGAAGGGCTAAGTCTATTAAAGTCAGTCATTGCACAACCTGGGTATTAACATTCTCCTGGTTCTGCTCACTTCACTCAGCATCAATCCATACATCCATCCAAATTTTTCTGAAGTCTGCCGGCTCATCATTTCTTATAGCACGATAGTATTCCATTACATTCATATACTACAACCTATTCAGCCATTCCCCAATTGATGGGCATCCCCTCCATTTCCAATTCTTTGCCACCACAGAAAGAGCTGCTATAAATACTTTTGTACATGTGGGTCCTTTTCCCATTTTTTTATGATCTCTTTGGGATATTGCTGAGTCAAAGGGTATGTTCATTTTTATAGCCCTTTGGGCATAGTTCCAAATTGCTCTCGAAAATGGTTGGATTAGTTCACAACTCCACCAACAATGCATTGATGTTCCAATTTTCCCATACCTTCTCCAACATTTGTCATTTTTCTGTTTTGTCATGTTAGCCAATCTGATAGGTGTGATGTGATACCTCAGAGTTGTTTTGATTTGCATTTCTCTAATCAATAGTGATTTAGCATTTTTCATATGACTATAGATGCTTTAATTTCCTCATCTGAAAATGACCATTTATCAATTGGAGAATGACTTGTATTTTTTAGTTCTCCACATATTTTAGAAATGAGGTCCTTATCAGAGACACTGGTTGTAAAAATAATTTTCTACTTTCCTTCTAATCTTGGTTGCATTGGTTTTGCTTACGCAGAAACTTTTCAATTTAATATAATCAAATTATTCATTTTGCATTTCATAATGTTCTCTATCTCTTGTTTGGTCATAAATTCTTCTGTTCTCCATAAATCTGATAAGGTAAACTATTCCTTGCTCTCCCAGCTTCCTTATGGTGTCAGCCTTTATATTTAAACCATGAACCAATTCTGACTTTATTTTGGTATATGGTGTAAGATTTTAGTCTATGCCTAGGTTTCTGCCATACCCTTTTCCAGTTTTCCCAGCAGTTTTTGTCAAATAGCGAGTTCTTGTCCCAGAAGCTGGATTCTTTGGGTTTATCAAACAGTAGATTACTATAGTCATTGACTACTGTGTCTTGCATACCTAAATTATTCCACTGATCCACCACTCTATGTCTTAGCCAGTACCAAGTAGTTTTGATGATTGCTGCTTTATAATACAATTTAACATCTGGAACAGTTAGGACACCTTCCCTAGCATTTCTTTTCATTAGTTCTCTTGATATTCTGGACCTTTTGTTATTCCAAATGAATCTTGTTATTATTTTTTCTAGCTCTATAAAATAATTTTTTGTTAGTTTGATTGGTATGGCACTGAGTAAGTAAATTAGCTTAGGTAGAATCATCATTTTTATTATATTAGCTCTGTCTACCCACGAGCAACTGATGTTTTTCCAATTATTTAGATCTGACTTTATTTGTGTGAAAAGTGTTTTGTAATTGTGTTTAATAGTTCCTGGGTTTGTTTTGGTAGGTAGATTCCTAAATATTTTATAATGTCTACAGTAACTTTAAATAGAATTTCTCTTTCTATCTCTTGCTGTTAGGCTTTGTTAGTAATATATAGCAATGCCAATGATTTATGTGGGATTATTTTATAACCTGCAACTTTGCTAAAGTTGTTTATTATTTCAAGGAGTTTTTTACTTGATTCTCTAGGATTCTCTAAGTATATCATCATATCATCTGCAAAGAGTGATAGCATTGTTTCCTCTTTGCCTGTTCTAATATCTTGAATTTCTTTTTCTTCTGTTATTGCTAAAGCTAACATTTTTAGTACTGTATTGAACTACAGTGTTGATAATGGACATCCTTGTTTCACCCTTGATCTTATTGTAAATGTTGCTAGCTCATTCCCATTACATATGATGCTTCCTGAAGGTTTTAGGTAGATGCTACTTATCATTTTAAGGAAGATTCCATTTATTCCTATGCTCGCTAGTGTTTTTAATGGGAATGGGTGCTGTATTTTGTCAAAAGCTTTTTCTGCATATATTGAGATGATTATGTAGTTTCTATTAGTTTTGTTGTTAATATGATCAGTTATGCTACATTCCTGGTATAAATCCTACCTGGTCATAGCATATTATTCTTGTGATAAGTTGCTATTTGCTAATATTTTATTTGAAAATTTTGCATCTATATGCATTAGGGAAACTGGTCTATAATTTCTTTTTCTGTTTTGACTCTTCCCGGTTTAGGCATCAGCACCATATTTGTATCATAAAAAGAATTTGGTAAGACTCCTTCTTTGCCTATTTTCCCAAATAGTCTATATAGTATTGAAATTAATTGTTCTTTAAATGTTTGATAGAATTCGCTTGTAAATCTACCTGGCTCTGGAGATTTTTTCCTAGGGAGTTCATGGATGGCTTGTTCAATTTCTTTTTCCATGATCAGGTTATTTAAGTATCTTACCCCCTCTTTTATTAATCTGGGAAATTTATATTTTGTAAATATTAACCCATTTTACTAAGATTGTCAAATATATTAACATATAGGTGGGTAAAATATTTCCTAATTATTGTTTTAATTTCCTCTTCATTGGTGGTGAATTCACCCTTTTCATTTTTGATACTGGTAATTTGGTTTTCTTTTCTTTTTTTAAATTAAATTAACCAAAGGTTTATCTATTTTTTTTTTCATAAAACCAGCTCTTAGTTTTATTTTTTAGTTCAATAGTTTTCTTAATTTCAATTTTCTTAATTTCTCCTTTGGTTTTCAGTATTTCTAATTTGGTATTTAAATGGTGGTTTTTAATTTGTTCTTTTTCTAGTTTTTTTAGTTACATGCCCAATTCATTGATCTCCTCTTTCTCTATTTTATTCGTGTAAGCATTTAGAGATACAAAACTTCCCCTAAGAAATGCTTTTGCTGCATCCCATAAGTTTTGGTATGCTGTTTCATTGAACTTGAATGAAGTCACTGATTTTTTTCTATGATTTGCTGTTTGATTCATTCATTATTTAGGATTAGATTAGTTTCCAATCAATTTTTAATTTATCTTTCCATGGCCCTTTATTACATAATTTTTATTGCATCACGATCTGAAAAGGATGCATTTAATATTTCTGCCTTTCTGCATTGAACTATGAAGTTTTTATGCCTTAGTACATGGTCAATTTTTGTGTACGTGCCATGTACCGCCAAGAAAGTATATTCCTTTCTATCCCCATTCAATTTTCTCCAGCGGTCTACCATATCTAACTTTTCTAGAATTCTTTTTACCTCCTTAACTTCTTTCTTATTTATTTTGTGGTTAGATTTATTTAATTCAGAGAGGGGGAGGTTGAGGTCCCCCACTAGTATAGTTTTGCTGTCTATTTCTTCCTGTATGTCCCTGAACTTGTCCTCCAAGAATTTGGATGCTACACCACTTGATGCATATATGTTTAGTAATGATATTATTTCATTGTCTGTGGCATCTTTTAGCAGGATGTAGTTTCCTTCCTTATCTTTTTAAATAATATTTATTTTTGCTTTTGCTTTGTCTAAGATCAGGATTGCTATCCCTGCTTTTTTCACTTGAGTTGAAGCATAATATATTCTACTCCAGCCTTTTACCTTTACCTTGTGTGTATCCCTCTGCTTCAAATGTGTTCCCTGTAAACAACATATTGTAGGATTATAGTCTTTAACCCCTTTTGCTCTCCACTTCATTCACAGTAATAATTACTATCTGTGTCTTTCTCTCCATCCTATCCCCGCACCTCCCTGTTTTATTCTTTTCTTTCTCCTTTTTCTCTTTACCTCCTCACTAGTGTTTTGCTTTTGACCACCACCTCTCTGTCTGCCCTCCCTTTACTTTCTCTTTACCCTTACTACTTCTCCCCTCCATTTTCTTTCCCCTTTTCCCTCCTACTGCCTATATGGCAAGTTAGAGTTCTATACCTAACTGATTGTGTTATTCCCTCCTTGAGCCAAATCAGATGAGAGTAAGGTTCAAACAGTGCTTATCTCCCTCCCTTCTTTCTCTCTACTGCAATAGGTTTTTGTGCCTTTTCCTATAATGTAATTTACTCTTGTCTGCTTCCTTCTTCCTTTTCCTCCCAGTATAATCCCTTAATTAGATCCACTTACTTAGATCCATTTAACCCACTTAATTAGATTTCTCTGTCTACCCACTCCC